TGTTCAGCATGGGGGTGAGTAGAAAATGAAGGCTAATCATGTTTTGGGTGTACTATTCCTTTAAGGGTGGATTATGTTTCTGCAACCGCACACATCAAATGTCGCTTGCGTCTGGTCGCGAACCAGTTTTGCTGGTATGCTTCTGCAACGTCGGTCTTGAATTTCTAGGAATGCACAGCAGTTTCCCACCAATGCGCAAGAACTTCTGCAGATAGTCAAGAGAACGTCTTTGGCGGTGCCGGTGGGAGTGTTTATTTTCCAAAACATTTCTGAGGCATCGTAAAAGTGCTTGTACTTCCAAACCTCCTCGGTCAACCTTTCGTCGTTGTTATCCATTGCTATTACTCCTCAGTTTTTTAAAATGGCGCGCCCCGGCACCAAATCGAGAAGGACGACCACACAGGCAGCTGGAAAGGCATACCAAGGACCAATCACAGCTTCTTTTTGTCTGCAAACTTCCGCTTGAGGTCTGTGCGGGTTTACGACTGTCTGAGGCATAGCTAGGATTTTTTTGAGGTGCACAACGACGGTTGCAGAACCTCTGCGCGGGGGGCTTGGTCACGCACAGAGACTGATTTGACGATTGTAGAGGCTATGCATCAGAAGAAGAAATTGGCCTTAATTATACAGAAGAAAAAACTAACATACCTTGAATAAAACATAAACAAAAAAAGCCCCTTGTTTGATGTCTGTATCAAGCAGAGTGAATGAAGAAGGTGAAAGCAGAACAAACACCTAAGGCTGCAGATACACGCTGAGCCTTATTTATGAACTTATGAAAGGCCGATTTTAAGGAAATTGTTACCTAAAGTGCAGCTCATGCCAAGGAACGGTTCATTAAAATTTGGTAATGATCCAGATCATGTGTGAGTTTTAGCTATTGGTGTAAATCTAAATATGGGGCAAAATGTTCAGCTTGGTGGAGGTCTGCGCTCTCAGAGTGCTTTTCTAGTCATAAATATTATACTAGGAGAATAGTGGTTAGTTGTCCACAGTCCCCCCATTGAAGCACATTCAAGTGATCAACTACAGCAGGGCGATCTTAAGACATTTAATCTAACATAGCAACCTTCAGGTTCCCAAATGATGTAATATTTCAAATATCAAAGTAAGCTATAAATTGCTACTGCAAAAATGAGGAGGTGGCCTTAAAAAAGGAACAAAATAACAGTTAATCAGCCTTTAAAAGACTTACCCAGATATTTTGATCTGCATGTTATTGTTTCTGTTTTGAAGAGGGGTTGCATACATTCGTCTCCACACCATGTTTCGTTTATAACTCAGAGGAAGTGGAAATCAATGACTAATTAAAACTCTGTTCCAGGCTTTAAAATAAAAATGTAAATCACAAAAAATGCTTCAGTTTTATCCATTTTATTGGAGTTGTTAAATATTCTTATGGTCCAAAGGTATTTTGTTTATGCATTGACAGTTGACTCTTTTATTTCAAGGCTTTCTTAACATTTGTTAGTTTGTTTTGACATTTTCAGATGCATGAGACTTGATTATTACTAGAAAATGATCCCTATACAATTTAGTTTTTACACATTTGTCAGTTCAGAAATTTGGATGTACCAACAAGTGTCCGCCTGGGAGAGCTCCTGACGCATCTACAGGGGAAGGGCGATGAAGCGTGCAGAGAGTTCTACAGAGCGCTCCATCTGCATGTGGAGGAGGTTTTCCACAGCTTACCCACGCGGTTACGCCTCAGAGGTTAGATAAAATATTTCCTATTCTTACAACAGTTTCTTTTAGATATTTCTAAAAGCAGTTGTTTTCTCTTTAATATTTTGATCCAATCCAAATCCCAGATTCCTTGAATCCGATGACAAGTTCACAGATCCACCTACAGAGGAACGTACTGAACGACGGAGGTAATGTGACACTTATGCAGGTCGTCTCTCTGTGTCGAAAGCATTGTTATTAGAAGACACAGTGATCCGCTTACAAGAATTGTTTGCAGCTTTTTTCATTACCTCTTGTTGCACAAGCATTTTATGTGAGGTGCTGGATTTTTTTCAGCCTTTTCTCTTTCATTAAATGTTTGATAATAACTCATGAAGGGATCGAGCTTTTGACAGACGATGGTTTAAAGAAAAAAAAAATCTCCAGCTAAAAATAGATTGTTTGAAAACTTTTATATTTCTAAAATATTAAGTTTCGAGACTGGGGAAACTTGCATTTCACTATATATTTTAAAAGAATTTTTTTTATTACAATATAACCTTGTTTTGAGATTGTGATGTAAATAAATTTCAAAATAAGGCATTCAAAGTACCTTTAAACATGCAAAGAAGTGTTTTTTTTTTGGGGGTGTAAAAACTAACCTTTATTCTTACCAACATATTTGCAGGTCCTCTTTTTTACCTAGGCTGTTTCAGCTTTGCTGTGGGAATGGCTTTTCTCTATTACTATGGAGGTATATTTTTTCCCTTTGTTACATTTCAAATTAAGTGTTTAATATGATTAGCTGTATAATATGTGATAATAACTCATAATTTGTGTGTTTTTTGTTTTTTTTTGTCTGTAGAAGCTAGACTGTCGGGAGGAAGTCGGGCTTTGGGAATGGCGGCTCTTGGTTTGAAAAGAAAAGCAGAGGAGATTCTTGTTTGGTACACTGACGAAGGTGTATTGATGTAAACGGTGTCTGCCATCTACCTGGTGCTTCAGAGCTACAGACACTACACTAAAAAATACTATTTGTCTGATATTGTATGTGGTATAACTATGCAAAGCACATGATATTGCTTTTCTTGAGGGGAGATGCATTTGTTTCTTTGGTTACACTGTATATATTGTGAAATGTTTTAAGCCATGAATGCACTCATTACTCTGGAATGATATAGTGTACTTTTTTACACTTGCATTTCTAAATGTATGTAACAGGGTTGATAAATCCTTAATTTAAATCTCCATGCCTCTCACAATAATTCTCAAAATATTTAAAGCAATTTTTATTGGCACTTAAGTGAAGGCATTTTATTTTTTTGGCAATACAACTATAAACTATACTAACACATTTTACTGGGAATTTGTATGACAAAATCATAATTATATAATAGTTTCAATAAAAATCTGAATAACTAATGTGTGTTTTTCAGTTCAGCCCATCTGTATAAATAATTTTAAGATCATATTTTCTGCATATTTTTTTCACATCGAAAAAGATTATTTTGTGCATGAAACTGCAGTCAATAGGTGAGCACAAACCTGTCGCTGTACCTAGACTGCCATCTTGTGGAGGAAAAACGAAACTACATTATTAAACTTGATATTTATATTTTCAGTCTGCGTTTCGTGTTGAGGAAGGCATAAATGAATGCGTAAAAATCTGATCAATCCATAATTACTCTGAAGTTGTTTACAAGATTTAAAAAATTGTGTAAAGAGGAATAATATATAACGTGCTACTGCTTACCAATCATATCCCGCTATGCGACCGCACTGCATTATGGGTGTAGATTTTACAAGCGAAATTAAAAAGAAAAAACAAATAAAACATCGAAATCTCTTGTTCGTATTATTGATTCTTTTAGGCCGTCGGTTTTAGGTAGTGTGATGTATTATTATGTGCCCGTTTGACTTATAGTAAATAACACCATGACTGAAACTGAACTGTAAACATCGGCGATTATATAGGACCGTTTCCATAGCGGAAGTTGTGTTGTATGAAAGGAGAGAAGGTTAGCACTCCCCTTGACAAGGATGGAATTGGCCCTTGTGGCCAGCAACACATATACGGTTAAGGCATTGCCACCTACTTCGTGGCATCTCTAACCATGTTTTTTTATGCATTAAAATTGCTTCAGTTATATCTGTGTATTATAGCATAACTCTTTTTCCTGTTTTGAACTCGTAGCTAAAGAAAGGAAGCACAGGCTTGAATTTCCCTATAGTGGGTTTCCTCTGGGCAGAGCGGAAAAATTTGTTTCCTGTTAGCCTGCAGTTATAATAGTCCAGTAGCAATGCAGTCATGTTTATAAAACCAAACCTTCCTGGATCAACTTAGCTTGATATAAAATATATTTGTTATAAATGAAATAATGTTAATCCTGTGCTATTTTTTTAGGGTTATAGCCTACTCTCTTTGCCAAAAGGTTTTTGAGGTTGCACAAATAACAGTTGCATTATATTTTAGAGCTTTTAAGCTGTTCTTAAGCATTTTTTGAAAAGCAAAACCATAGAAAATGACTTTTAGACCAAAGCCCAAGAGTGCCATAATTTTTGACATGTATTAAAATATTTTCCTGAAAAGCTTAATTGCAGCCATTACTTCTGTGTAATTAGTATTTGTTAATAAAAGCAATTAGAGAAAGTCACCCTTAATATGTTTATTTATAAATATAGAATAATTGAATAGTCAAAGTGTACAGAAGTGTGTAGAAAAAAAAACTCTTTAAAACAAAACGAAAAATGTTTTTCTGTTTTCCACAATAAAATTTTTTGCGATTCTGGGTCTTACAATCCTCTACTGAAACTAAATATTGTAATAAATATGATAACACTTAACTTCATAACTGTAAAAACATTAAAAAAGAAAACAGTACAAATAAAAGAAAATAACATCTACTTTTGACATTGATTACTAAACTCCTGTTTGACATCATTTATGTACACCGAACAGTCAAGGTCACAGGCCAATTCCACTTATTTGTGGGTCAGACACTGACCTATCGTACATGGAAGACAGTCAAAATATTGCAGTTTGTATAGCACTAAAAAAACAAAGTTTATCCAGGTGAAACACTTCTCTCCCACAGTAAAGCTATAGTAAAGTATGAAGGGATGTACAAGCCATAAATCATACCACCAATCTTACATAGATGTTTTTTTATCTCTCACACACATACTTTATCTCTCACATACATGTTTTATTTTTCACATACATACATTTGATCTCTGTCACACATTCTCCTCTCACAAAGCTATATTCTTTCACATACAGACATACATTTTACCTTGCACACATATTCTCGTCTTACACGCATACATTCCACTTTCACATGCATAGATTTTGCTCTCACATGGATAAATTCTTCCCTCTGAGACACACATACAGTATTTTAAATTAAATAATCTATGTATTGTATGACACAGGCAGTTCTTACTAAAATGCAAAGTAATTCTTAAATCACAAAATCCACTGCATCTTCCTTTGCGATATTTCAAAAGTTTATTTAAACAGCTGCATAATAAAACACTTTAGATTAATTCTATAAATAAAAAGACTATGAAACTGAATAAAAGTGTGGAGATAAAACAATATAATAGGTAATATATTTATGTCTAATAATAATTTTTACATATACCTCTAATTTGTATCAATTTGTTGCATTTATTGGCCAACTAATTTAAATTTCAAGCTATTATTTTGGCAACTGGTTATTTTTATGATTCATTATTGTATTCCTCTATGTTGTTTTTAATTATGGCAGGACTGGTCAACCATACTCCTCACCCACAAATGACAAAAAAAGATGAGGAAATGAGATCTGTTTAATTAGTTTCAATAAATGCAGTTTTTCAAGTAATTATTCTGTTTAAATATACCAGGAATATGGAGCATTTCCTGATTCAAGAATTACTTCAATTTTGAGTAATAACTTCCTGCGTCACACATTACAAAGATTATTTAAGATCTTGTATATATGTATCTGAGAGTGAAATGTATGCATGTGTGAGGAAAATGTATGTATATGAGAGGAGAACATGTACGTAAGAGATAAAATATATGTATATGAGGGTTAAAATAAATGCATATCACAGTGGCAGTGTGGTTCATGGCTGTACGGCCCCCAATTGTAATGCACCTTCCAGCCTGATTAAGAATTCAAGAAGTACTTTGCATTGGTTATATAGTCCATCAACAATTAACAGAAGGCATGCATACATAAAAAAAAAAAACTTGATACAACAGTCACAGTGATTTTGTCTTAGATTGTGGTACTCCTGGTGGTTTATTGCACCCTTAACAAACTGGTGAGAAATTAACCATCCATTTTGTTCAGATCCCCATTTTAGAAAAAAAAAACTCAGTCAAGGCTGATGATATGAAATGATTATCTAATCTGGTAAATTATATAAAAAAAGATATTGTCTTGATGAGCAGCAGTCATATCATATCAATGTGATGGTAAAGGTCCCGATTCGGGTCGCTGGACACCGAAGGCTGTGATGAAGACGTTGACGACCACTATGACGAATACAAAAGCTGTGGCAAAATTCTCTAAGATGTCCAACTTGTAGTGCGTACTTTCGTCATTTAGATTCCACTTAACTGTGAAAAAAGCAGAAAAAAACAAACAAAAAAAAAACAATGTTTATAATGAGTAAGCAAATTTCCCCACCAGAGGGCATGACACATTCTCAGTACATGCCTTTGAAGCAATCATTTTCTAAATTAAAGATTAACAACATCCAAACTCTTTCAGGGAATAATTATCTCACTCCTCCAGTGGTAGATCCCATGCCTCATTAGTCTGTGAATCCAACATATGGATCTGATTTAAGCAGATGACGAGCCTGTGTTTCTACCCATTTACTGCTCCTCTGTGATTCAATACATACAAAAGTAAACAGCTCTTTAAAATTGGAACCAACTTACAGCAAAGGCGACCATTTCCTCTTTAACTTTTCTAAAAACATTCTCACCCCCAACACAGTATATTTTTCTGTTACTGTAAGATAAGGGAAGAGCTAGAGAGAAGGAGGGGTCCACAGCCGTCTAAAGAGCTCCATTTCTACTGTTTCACTCAGTAGTATATTAGTAAAAATGTTGTTTTGTTTATTAGATGCTGTTCTCCATGTTTTAAAATCATAATATAAATACCTGCATTTTAAATTTAGACATGTTTACTAATCAATTAATTTCATTTAGGATTGACCTATATTTTTTTCTTTAAGAATAATAGTTGCTTATGTTTTAAATAAAGCAAATAAATACTGGAATACATGTTCCTGTGAATCATGTGAGCTATTAAACTCCTGCTATTTTTAGCCGAGTTTATCATACTGTGAAAGTCTTACTGATGCTCAATGGTGAAATAAATGTACTTCCTAATTTTGGTTTTGTTTTCTTTGGAAGAATGCCCCTCTGGTTTTGAAGTGAGGTTCTTCATTAAGTTGTTAATAAGTAACAAAGGTTCCAGAAAATGTATTGAATTTGCAAAAAGTTAGGTTTCTGCTTTTGTCCTCCTCTTAACTGCCTAAAACACACTGTGCAATTTTGAAGTTGCCAATTTAAAGATTACAGTTTATAATACGTCAGATGATTTTTACTGATATTTAATTTGGTTTGTTTAATCAAAAATAGTTTAATAGTGAAAAAGAAAGTAAAAAACATACAAAATCTTTAAAAAGTAAATGTATTTCTCAGAGAGCTTTGAGTTAACTTTAATTTAAATCTTGCATAATTATGCTGAATCTTCAAATGATATGGGTCATATCTACTGATAGTATTGTTTTTATGGAAATGAATCCCCATATTACCTATAAAGATGAGCATAACTCCCACCAGAACCTGTAAGATGAGGGAGATGCTGATGAGTGTGACGAGGGGAACGTAGAAACTGGTTGTGTGTCCATGCTCCAGGACAGCCTTCAGCTGAGAGGCGTTTGCCATCAGCAGAGCTACGTCCAGCATGCTCTCTGCCGCACTTTTTTTGTTGGCATAATGGTTCATGTTAAGGGGTCTGTGCCGCCTCCTGCTGCCTGGCTGCAGGGAATCCTGAAAAGGAAAGCAAACCGTGACTTCAGTTTTTTTTATTTAGTTTTTGCATTAATTTCAGCCGATCATTTATGATGGTTTCAGATCAGTCTTACCAGAAACAAATACTTCACCCATAATCCACTGCTATAGTTTAACTTCCCTCAAACCCCAAATAAATGACTTAATCTAGAAGAATTTGTGACACAGTGTCAGAAATTCACATCTATTCAAAACCAGCTTATCTTTTTTGCAGGAAAAATGCTATTTCTATGATAAACACCTTAAATGGCTCAGTCATCAAGACCTCAATTTATTTCAGAAGTTTAATATGAAACCAGGACAAACCCTTTAGAAAAGGAAGGTCAGATAAGTGCAGCTGTAAAGGTTTTTGTTTTTTTCCAGATTTGAGAAATTCTTGAAGTTTTGGTTTTGCTGAATACCACATTTATGACATAGAAGGTTTTGAACTTCAATAACAGTAGTAGTATTAAATTCATAACAGGTCAAATAGAAAGTCCTGGTTCTGCTTGACCTACTTGTTCCTCTTTCTGCACATGTGGCAATCTGAAGTTTCGGGTGGGGTGTGTTTGTGTGTGTGGGGGTTGCATTGGAAGTTGCGGATGTGGTGTGATGTACAGGGGTATGATAACTTTTTTTTTCTGTGCAGAGTAAGTACACAGCAACATACATACACCTGTGGTCCCTTGACAGGCTAAGCAGGACTGACCTTCTTGTAAATGTATTAAAGAAATGTTCACAACTTTCTTTTTGAAACTTTATAAATACAATTTTACACAATTGATTGATATCTTAATAATGCTTTGGAACTGGCTAATGGTGGCTTTACTGGCCTCATTGGTTATCTGCAGTGGTATTTCTCAAACCTTTCAATTCTCGGCCGGCGAACAGATTTTTGAGGACACTGAGAAGTGACCAGCAATCCAGCTCAACTCAGACACCAACAGCACACGCGCTATGAAAAAAAAACTTAAGAGTGCGGCAGTTCTGTATGACTCTGTCAGACTCTGTGTCGTAGGTGTCCACCTACGACACAGAGTCTGGGTCAGAAGATCACAGATCACAGCCAAATAGCTTTGAACCACACCTCCACGAAAGCCAACCACCATCGAAAGTTAATCTTAAAAGGCTGCTGGTCTGCAACTCATCTGCTACCTAGTGCACAGGCGGCAGATGCGCTGTGTGACTTTATTCAGATGACCCTGTTTCAGCTCATTCAGTCCACTGGATCTCCCCATAAAGTTCAGCAGTCTACAGACTGACCAACTTCATCTATCTCCACACCACCACCAGTTTCAGGCCTGGGGGTGCTATTTTTCCTGCCGGGGTCTGAAAAACACTTAAAGAATATTAAATATAAGTGTCCTTAACCCTCAGGTTTGAAGAAAACATTTTTTGTAGAGGAAAAAAACATCAGTTGAAGAAAAGTTTGTACATGGAAATGTATGTATTTAAATAAAATGCCTCTTGTGATGGAGTAGTAAAAATTGTCTATTTGATTGTAAGCAGGGGTGTTATTGTGCATTTGTCATCTTCTTACGAAAAGATCATATACACACAAAAATGAAAAAAAGGAAGGACAAAGGAAAGATGCCAACATTTAAGACGTTTACATATAATATTATATATATTATTACATAATATGTAATAGGATATTGAAAAAAAAAAAGTCTCCATACTAATCCAAAACTCAAAAAATCTTAAAGACTCATACTTTACTCCTACAACTCTGACTGGAATGCACTAATTCAGGTATCAGTCAGGACTGTCTCCACTCTCCCTCCCGCCTCAAAAAAATGTACCCTTTACTAACATCTCCATCAATAAAATATGCTAAACAAAAATGAGTTCCTTTTGAGAAGAAAAATCTTTATAATGGAAAAGAAAAACTTAAAGTCTTCTAAAAAGTGACCTCATTTTTTTGGACAACATCAAAGGTCAAGATGCTAAAATCAGATATGAATGTGTGCCCTGGTTATAGGTTTCTAAAACTGTTAGATGAGTTAAATTGAGGTATTCATGTTTGGAGAGAAATAGGTCCAAACACATATACAGACTTAAAGTTTTCTCATTTTTTTTTATAGTTGCCCGTTCATATTTGATCCTAATATACTATAGATGTTTTTCTGTCTAAAAAGTTTAAGTGGCCTGAAAAATCTTACAAGGTCAGAAGTGTAAGTTTCAATTTGAGATATATATTATTTTGATTCACAACATTTTCAATTTTGGTAAAAGAAAATAAACAGAATGGTAAATATTTGTGTTTTAAGACTTTATCCTAGTTCTCACGGTCTTTCATGTTCTTTTTCTTGTATCCATCTTTATGGCTCTTTCCTTGTCTCTTAAAATCCCACCTTTTGGGTCCCTCTTTCCTTTCTTTTTGCTTCTAATTTGTTTAAAATGTTTTGTGGAAATTTGTGTAACTATTTTAGAAAAAACCTTAACATTTTATAATAAAATGAGTGGGGGGATCTGGTCTGATAAATATGCTTCAAATTAGACTATTTGAAGCAGTTTGCAGTTAAAGTAGGGAACATGAAATAAAGTGGAGTTACACACAGCTCCACAGTTAGGATTAGTTTACAGACATTTAGAACAGAGATGTTATTATCGAAAGTCACGTTCTTTTAGATTTGGGTCACTGGTCCTGCAAACACAATGTCCTTTCTCATCTGTCACTGGGTGTAAAATGACCCAACAGAGCGGAAAAAGAAGGTTGGTCCCCTTAGAAAAATAACAAAAATACACTTTGAAACGTTTATACACGATTGCCACAAAGCAATTCAAGATTTCCTTAAATTTTACTGTACAATTTGATGAGTTAATTCAAAAAACTTATTTTTTTTCTGACATTATGAGTGTGTTTATGAAGGGAAAACACTCCCAGCGTCACATTTTCTCTCCTCAGTCCTCATAAACCGTCTCTTCCTGCGAGGCTCACCGAGCAGGATTCAGCTGCAGATGAACATGAGAGAAGCGAACATGGAAATATGTCCAGCCCTGTAACAACAGGCTGCCTTACCTCCGCAGGGTCGCCTCTGGTAGCAGCCCCGTTCATTGGTATATCTTCATTAGCCATGTCTTATCTTTGGGTCCTGGAAGAAAACGCCGGTGATGTAGCTTTAAGTGCGTTTAGGGTGGACCACTGGCACCAGTGAGTTCTGGCAGTAAGTATAGGTGGGACTATTTATAAAGTGGCCGGCGCCGCTGCTTTGAGGAAGATGGGAGAGTAGCGTTGATTACTGCGCCTCTCTAACACCCGGGCGGGGGCTGTAATGCTGACCAACAGACCTGACGACTTCCCGGTTGGACTCCCGTTTCAGAAACAATCCCACATAAAATGTTGATGTAATCCTTCAGAGGACGGGCGAAACCCGAATTTCTCATCTGGACATTTAGAAGATCATTTTTATCCATTTTAGCTTTTTGCTGACATCTAGCGTTACAATATCGACAGTACACCCGGATATATTTACTTTACAATGAAGGGCGTATTCAAACCTATTTACATATTACACAGATCGTACATCTGATAATATTGTTTGGATAATTATCATTGAAGATGTGTGTTTTTTACACCCTGGTATGGGCTGCCTGTTGCGCGTCAATGTAATTAGGACAGTTCCTCTGTCCAGTGGCGTAACGACTCAATAATAGGCCCGTAAGCCACATTATCTGGGTGGCCCTATATGAAGTACAACACTGGATTACCCATAATTCCAAGTTGTAGTGTAGAAAATAAAATACTCAAATACATTGTACTTTTATGATATTATTGTGGTTTGAAACATATTATATGAATGTATTTTTTTTTTTTTTACCAACCATCTAATGAACTATACACAGTTAATTAACATAGTAATTAAAAGTACCACTGTCTGCTCTGCTATTGGTGTCGCGTTTAAACGGCTAACCATCATGTTGAAATCTGGCATGTCTAGGGGTATAAATATGGTCTGGTCAGAAGTTTGAAAATCAGGTGGGTTTTAAGAGGTATTTTTCACACCATTACAGTCCACAATTGCGAAGGGGGCCTAC